GGGCCACCTTCAGGTGGAGTTTTCTACAGGGACGGCCTGGTACCAAGGACGCCAGGTGGCCAGCGCTTCAGCCCTTCCATCAAAACGCCAGACCGTCGAGAGGAGCCCATTGGGCTGGCTAGACGCAGAAGCGGTGGGCAACCACACCATGAAAACGATGGACATGATGGCTGCATCTTGGAATGCCTTTCTGCAGCCACTTTTTCAGTGACGGAAGCCCAGGCATAAAACGCAGGCAATGTTTCACACGTTGGGGACCTGGAACTTGGGACGTGGCTCCCTAAGGGAAACACTCCTTACCTTGCAGCACCAGACCCATGCAGGTCGTCCCTTTTTCATGCTTATCGCACTGTGATCCTAATGTTGTCGAACCCTGATCCGCCCAGAGTTTCACTGAGTCTGACTTGACACAAGAATGGTTTGGCGGGGCTACATGGCCTACATGGCCCGACGGTTTGCCGTCATCCCCACGCAGCCAAAAGCCAGAAAGAGGGAGAGAGAGAGATAAGCGGCTAAGGAAGGTACAGTAGAGTTTTGTTGCAGTTTTTGCTTTTCAGCTGATCGAAGATCAGTACCTGGCGGGACAACCTTACATTGCATTGAGTTTCTTTAGAAACCGCTGAGTGCCATGCATCCCTGGCAGAATCCAAGGCAAGCTGGATCAGACCTTGAGAATCGATAAGAAGCTGCATGCCGAGGGTGTTGGGACTGGTGATTGCCTCACGCTCGTCCAGGAGTTGCCAGGGTCGAGTTCATTTGAGGATCCAGACTTGCTTTTGGGTTGGATTTGCCGAAGCAACCGGGAGAATCTCGGGTCTGCAAGTAGCAAGCTTTGGGTCAGAATTTGGGATTGCCGTTTGCGTGACTTTGTGATGCCGCAGTCTTAACCACGACGTCGTGATGTCGTGATTTATCATCCCCAGGCGACCTCACAGAGCCAGCCAGACCCACCTGCACTAAGCTTTGCGTGACGTGCTTTGAGGGAATTACGAGACAATTGCTTTAGGCTACATTTTTCAAGGCTGATCGACATCTTCTGCTGTTGATGGATTCCCCGTTTAGGCGCTCAACTGGGCCACGTCTGCAGTTTAAAGGTTCCGCTCGCACAGCAACCTATACCTCAAGCCTTTGTACCAACCGTGGGCCATGCTTGCAGCCGACGCCAACTGCGTGCAACTTTGTAGGAGCCTGAACCGGAACTGGACCAGGCACGACTTTGGGTTCAAGCAAGGCTGCTGCAGGGCTCCATAGTGCTGGACTTGACACGGGTCGAAGTGTGCTTTCTGAGCAGTTCCTTGGGCAACAATGTCAGTGCATTTCCGAGTTGCGAAGACACTTTTTGCTTTGTGGGTGCCACCTATATTCATGAGGACAACATCCATTTCTATTGTTAAGCCCCCTAGATGCCATGACACTGCGAAGCAACTTTTCTAGTGGCACGTTTATTGCCCAGGGACGCTATGCCTTCTCGTATTTTGAATTTGGCTCTTCCAGTTCGACTTGTATCCTGTGAGTTCTGATCAGCCAGACTCAAGTCAGCTTTTCAAGGAATTTATGCTTGGCTGAGGTTCAGCCAAACTAAACATGCATGTGGATAAATCTTGATTTGAACGGCTTGCCAGCAAGGGGACTCGTTTTGCACTGCAACTCATTACCTTTCCCACTCAACGGCGCGCAACAAAGCACACAGAACACCAACCGTGCTGGCATCTTCCCCTGAACTCTTTGCCATGCAGGCACTCGAAAAGTTCCGGTCGGGCCCGCCTGGTGACGCTACATCTGTTTTTGTCGCGCAGTGTGTGCAAGTGCCATGCCTGGCAGAACGGTTCAGGGACTATGTTGGAGTGGTGCAAGTCGCAGGATAGGGATGCGGCCTCAAGGTTCCACTCTAACCAACATGAATCTCAGCAAGCAGATCTACCACCTTAAAGCCCTGAGATCATTCGTTCTCTTTCAGACTCGTGTTTCTGCGAGTTGGTCTTTGCCAGTGATCTCATGAGTAAAGTGAAAAACCCCAAGCGCTCGACATATCTTGGCCTTTGGGCCAAGCTGCAGTCAGGCACAAAGGGTCCTTCCCCAGCCCATGTCCACGTTGGTCGGGGTCTTCAAAAAGAAGTGTCCAAGCAGCATTTCAGCTCCTGCACAAGACCCATAGTTCACACAACATACAGAGCGCTCTTCTCGCAGGGCCGATGCTGTGGAGGCAATCGTGGACAAGGTCAAGGAAGCCTGGGATCGTGCAGCCCGGGTGCAAGGGCCTAAACGTGAAGGCTGTGCTAGAATCCGTTCCACAGAGGTTTTGTGTTGCGAGCTACACTATTTGGTGCTGACCATAAGCATTGGCTGCGCGGCCTGCTGCTGCTGCTGCTGCTGCTGCTGCTGCTGCTATGGTTGTCTTTGTGCTTCGTGCGGGGCTTGGCCAAGTGCTTATAACACCAGGTCCCCGAGCCTTCGCAATTACGTTGTAGGTCAGATTGCCAGTGTCTGGACGGATTTTTGTTGAATAAGATGTAGGCCTCAGGGAAAGCATTGCCTCTTGGTGGGCTCCAGAACCAAGATCACAACCTGAAGCGTAGAGTGGGCCTCATATCCCAGGCCCAGACTTTTTTTCAGCTTTTGCTACAGAGCTTGTCAACGTGAAAGAGATGTCGTTTCGTAGCTTTGAGGTCATGCTGAATGCCTTTGAGCTTGAGGACAACTCGGAATACAGTACACGCATTTCAGGCGGCGGTGGCTTGTGTTTGGCGGATTTGTGCTACTACCCTGGCCGAGAGGTCAGCGCAGGTCCTCATGCTGAAAATGTAGGTACCGGAGATTCCTCACTTCTCCCCCCTAGCATGTTTTGCAGACTGCACAGCCGTTACATATTTAAGGACAAGTCATTGCATTAGCAGATGCGCTCACTGCTGCCTAAATGTGGAGGGACCCGCTGACAGACAGCCGAAAGCGTATCATAGTACAACTTTGTTTTCAGGCAGCAAGCAGCATTCACGCAAAATCGAAGCCTTGCGGTCTGATGGTCACAAGCCTAGGGTGATTGTGCCAAACGTCTGTTGTTTTTTTTCCTTTTTTTTCTGTCCTTTGGATGTGTGCCAAGTGTTTTCAAGGTTTGCTTGGAAGGCTTGAGCTCACTAGAAGAAGCTAGCACCATATTGGCAAAGAACTGGAGACTGAAGTTTCCGGACAGCTTGCATTCTTGAGCTTGTAGCAAGTGAAAACATGCTGGCGCTCCCAGAATGGCTTTGTACAAAGATTTGAGGGATACAGTACTGTCATCTCCAAAGCTGAAGTTAGGTCAATCATCTTCCCGTGGAGTTTGAGTTTCGTGCAACAAAAAAAGCAGGCGTGGCTTTACTGATGCCATAATCATGAAAAACCTTGTTATCAGAAGGTTGAGGACTCCTGGGGCGCCGTGTGCATTTTTATGCTGCGGATTTTTCCTGTTCCCGCTTATCACCTTTGTTTGTGTTTAGTGTATGCTCATGTGTTTTTTGACTTTTGGATACATGCAACGGGTCCAGGGTTTTTGATAAGAGTCATTTTCCTCATGCGTGGGGGCTTTGAGAACAGAGCCTGGCAGGCAGCTTCTGGGGCTTTAAAGCGAGAAGCCCCTCCTCATGAAATCAAAAGCACCCGCAGCATAGATCCAAACACCTAGGCTACATCGGCCTGGACTGCTGCCAACAAAAATGCTCGCTTGTCTCCACAAACGCACTGCCAGACTATAAGCATGCCAGCCTCACATGGTGCAGGTGCTGCAGATCGCATTGAGCTCGACGTGCCCTTCGAAGACTCCTTCCAGTGGACTCTGGAGGAGACGATTCTGAGATAGCTGAGGAAGATGTCCACATGCACAACCTGGTTCGGGCCACGCGGAAATCCTAGGTGGACGTCACGCAGCAGCATTCTTGCCTGAAGCATGTGCGTGACGAACTGGACTGGGCGGAGGGGCACTGACCGTCTCATCAGTCTATGGCCAACGTTTAGTGCTTGCTTACAATTGGGCATCTGGCTCAAAGCATTTGTGATGCTGATCCTGGCTCCCACCTTGAATCCAGAGCGCCCGAGATGAGATGCAGGCTGCATGGCAGCCAACGCCCCGCACGCATACCCGCTGCAGCAGAATCAGTATGAAAAGGATGGATGATTCAAGTACAAACACACAGCAAATTCTTAGGTGAGGAGAGTTGGTGTAAGGGAGTCACATTAGAGTATCTTAGGACTCTCTAGGAGCATAAAGACTCGTACTACACAAAAGCCAAAATGGAGGGACATCGCCATCATGCCAGAAAACTCCAATCGATAACGCAGGCCTAAAGCCGCCAAGGCTGTGAGGTAGGGCTGCAACTAAAACACTCCCTTAGTGGAATCTGGTGAGGTTTATGACCCGGGTCCTTGCTTTTGTAGAGACGCTGCTTCGTTTCTCTGGGTGGGGCTGAGGCTCGCTTTCAAGAGGTGCGGGACCGTACTCGCGCTTGAGATTTGCGTCTTGCAGGAGGCAAAAGCACCAGCAGCCGTTCCAATTTTCTGTGGTGGCTGCATCGAAGTTTGCTTGTTTATGTCGTGCAAGTACCCTCCTGCAGGTAGAAGTGCCAGCAATTGCAGCTTTTGGCATCAGGGTGAATCCGCTGTAGAGCTCTGATCTGCAAGCGAATCACAGATCCCAAGGCTTTCACAGGCTGCATATTTGCATGCAAGCAGAAGAACCATGCAATGTCCCAAGCCTTGATTCCTGGCCGAACTTCACCATATCCCGGCTTTCAAACCCCCTCGAATAAGGATGGCAACCATGGCACCAGACCCCAGACAGAACTCTTCAACTCGTAATTTGCGTCCTGAACCGTCAGTTTGCTCAATTCATTGAGCCGTGATCCCCAATCCTGGCTGGGACCCCCTTCAGATCAAGCCAAGCTGTCCAAATCACAGACATTCCGTAAGCAGGGTCTGGCCGTTCCCCTCAACACCCTGATTTCTCAAAGGCTCCAAAATGCTCAGCTGAGGCCTGGCCCCGCCAACTATGCACTGGCCTCGGAGGGACTTGTTGGCAGCGCTTTGCTTTCGACAAGACTTGAGATTTCTTGGGCGCATTGCAGTAGTGACAGCCAGCGCTGAGGGATCAGCGGCGGTAGCAACTGCAGGCGTTTCAGTTCCGCCATCCGGAATCTCAACTACGACTCGGATTTATGGCTCCTGTGTACCTGTGGTTCATTAGCATGCATGACATAGTCGGTAACCAAGTATCTCAATCCGAAGCGGCTGAAGCCTACTGGCCATTCATTCTCGTGTGTCCAATCCAAGACAAGAAGCTGGACAAGCCTATCCAGATCTCAGAAAATCTTGATCGTTCAACCTTGGGCGAACGTCCCTGCATCCCTGCAGGATTATGAGTACAAGAAACATGACGTCTCGTGTACCGTGTCAGCTCCAAACGCCAAATTTCCTACACAGGGAACTGAGGCTTCGGATTCGGATTCTAGGGAGCCAAATGTAGAGTTCAGGGAAGTTCATAAGATCTTCTTCCATGAGCCTTGGCAAGTATCCTGTCAGGCCGCATCCCAACGATTGGGGCCCTGATCATGAAGTGGTAGTTCTGGAGTTTCCCTCGGCATGAGTGCATGAAGCTGCTTTGGCATCAAAGTGGTCCAGCACGGAGGATAAGATTTTGGATTGGATCTATTTTTTAAATGTAAACCGTCTTTTGGAATCCAAAGGCATGTGCCGTTGCTGCCAAAAACAGACAGGGAAGCAGTGTGGACTGAATTCTGAGTCCAACAGGAGCCCGCACTTATGGGAGCGCTGAGCCATGAGGAACTGGAGGAACGGAAGTCTCGTCTCAGTTCACATCTATGTCAAATGGACTGCGGTTAGACGGGAGGGTTTCTGATTTGAGCATGGAACCAACATTGTTTTTGCTGAGGGACCGCCTCCGCAATCCGTCCGCGGTGCTGCGCTCAGGGTGTGACATGTTTTGGCATGATTTTGATGGTTCTCGGAGGGAGTCGCAGGCATCGCAGGCACAAGGTCTTGCAGCAAGCCCGCGATGATTTGCCAAACCGCTGCTGGTCTCCGGTCTCCCTCGAGTAAAGGCATGCAGTTGGCCCTTGAACAACTTTGCAGCTAGGGTCTAACTCTTCTTATCGGTTCATTACGGGAAAGATACTTCTCGCAGATGATGAATCCCTGTGTACGAAACCTCACGATCCGTTATGTGACAGCTGAACCAGAGGAGAAAGCACGCACTAGATTCCAAGCCACTAACGGTCACTAGCGGATCGCCGGTAGGGACATGTCTGGGAGCCCTTTGGGGCTCTTGGGACTCTAGGCCTGCGTAGGGCTGCGATGGAAAAGGTTGAGATTGAGTCCAACTTGTAGCCGTGAGAGGAGATAACAAGAGCCAGCTGCATAGAATGCTGATGATCAATCAGGATGTTTGCAAAAAGCGTAGCGCAGAACAGGTGAAGCTTCAATGAGGGAGCCTCTGCTCAGCGCCTGCACTGCAATTGCATCAGCATTTAGCACAGAGAATAACAGTTCGAGGCCTTAGACATAATTCTAGGTTCTACGGACTTTACGTACCAATTGCAATGCCCATGCCACATCCCGAATCCAAGAGGATATCAGAGTTCAATCTCCTGCAGGTGGCATGGGCATGCCAGGCATGCCCTACCCTGGTGCTGGGCCTCCAAACTTCACGGTGCGCCTCCGCCCTCCACCCTCCTCTCATGCAAGCTTGGCTACAGTCTACAGTGGTGGCATCAAGATGCCTCAAGGCCCCAGTCTCCATGAGTAGCCAAGTATTGAATTCCCATTAACACGAATGCCATGTTTCCGTATCCAGGCTTTCTGGTCTTTCTGTAAGGCTGGGAGACGATAGCATCAGCGGTAAAAGACCTAGCATGACACAGGCTTTGATGTGTGGTGCTGCAAGCAGAGAGGAGGCCCGATCGTATAAGTTGCTGGGGGCTGGTCGCGCCTGAGTCCTCAAGTACCGAGCACGAAGTGGGCAAGTCTTGTTAAACGTCTGTGGGAGAAGTTCTGGCCGCGCCATCCTCAAGCCAGTAGTTGCGAGCGCCGACTTTTTGACAAACGCCCTCGGGTAGCCCCGAGCCCTCCGTGGCTGACATGGCACCTCTCGCCGAGGTCGGGCTTGAGTTGAATGGGTTGAGTTTTTTTTTTTGGCGCTCTACTCGCGAAGAGTGGCATGACGGCCTGAAGCTCGAAGTCTAATATTTGCTTTGAATCTAGTGCCCTGAATCTCTATCAACTGGGACTGTCAGTGAGTCCACTGTGCTCGGCGGTTCCATGAACTAGCTTTGATTTTTGAGGTACGTGGTCAGAGGACCATGAAGTAGCACAAGCAACCAGCTTGCTTTCAGCAATCCAAACCTTCACCACATCAGGCAGCCAGTGAAGCTCTGTTTGTGGTTCGACGTGATGTGAAGCACATCCTGAATGGACATCTAGTAGGCCTCGAGACTGCAAAACAGAGTTTGTGGATGAAAATCAGAGATTTAAGGTGCGAAGTCTCTTTTTTTCAACTTATCACTGCAAACGAGCAGCCAGAGATGCAACGCAGAGCATGGGCCTTGCAAATCAGAGTCTAGAGGGTGTTGAGTCTTGCTTTCCTTCGTGCAAAAAGCATACCAACTGAGCAGGCAAGCCCAGGGAGTGCACAGTCCCTTCAAACCGAGGGATGGATTCAAGGCCTGAAGGACTTGTACGCGCGGCTGCGGTAAGGGATTGCCGGCTCAGCACCTATGTTGCTGTTTTTCTCGCCACCTCCCTCCCCACACTCGAGTACTGTACACGCAAAGAACACGAAGGCCGTTGCCCTAGGGGCAGCGGCGCGACCGGTGCTGCCGGCTGTCAGGCAGGGCCGGCAAAAGGTTCAGTCTTTGTGGAGTGTTGCGCCCCAGGTTCAGTATCCGGAGTGCCTTCAGAAGCTTCTCAGTCTAGGAGAGCACAGTCCCAGGGGGATAGGCCCTGTGCCAGCCGCGGAAGCTTGGATTTTCTAGCCACTGCCCTTCTTTCCCTCGCTTGCGGCTCTGGGATCTTGTAATGTTGTCTGGGATCTGGGATAAGCTTCTTGCACTTTTGTTATTGGAGGTGTCGGTGACCTGGTGTGCTGGATGGGTCTTCATGTCAAAGCTGAAGCATCATACATCTCGAAGCTGAGTTCTACAAGGTCCTTACCAGCCCTTCTTGTCCAGCAAAGCTTTGACCTGTTCACGGGGTCATACCTTGTCCCTAATGTGTGTTTGGGGCTACATGCCCGTTTTGAAGATCCGGCTTCTTAGCGCATGGCGTAGAGCTGACAACGCAATGTTCACGAAGGTTTTTACGCGGTGATGCCCAGAAATCTCTTAATCAGTGCGTCTGCGGAAATGACTTCATTCTAAATTCTAAATGGTACAAAGGAAAACTAAGGATTCAGGCTGTGGCAGGGTCAGTCGGCCAGGCTCGCCACTGAGCCGGCCCGAGTAGGGCATGAAGCTCCCGGAAGAGGCCTTTGGAGCTAAAGTAAAAGTTTGTTTGGAGGTTTGAGACTTGGTGATTTGGGAGTTTATGTCCTGGTTGAGAAGCCCAGGATGAACATCGTTTAGGATGCCGTCTTTCACCAGGCATGGAATGGAGCTGTTGACATGGGTTGACATGGCCATAGATCTGCAGCAACTTCAGAGGCCAAATGAATCGCGCAGTGATTCGATTTGATGTTCTGATGTTGTGGGGGCATGGCGCAGGGTGTGAGGTGCTCACGAAAGCACGCTCGTTCTTTGGGAGTTTTGTCACCTTCTGAGTTGGCTTTGAAACAGACTGAGGCGCGTCGTCGGCGTTTGCAGTGCTCGCCACCGGTTTGGCAGCCGGGGTTATGGCGAAGAGGCCGCTGACTAGATTGACGAACGTCTTTTTGCAGGTGCTGAGGGTACAAGAGGCGACATTAAGAAGAAGCACGAATGTATGATAACCTCAGAGCTCAGCCTTGCTGAGGGTTTTCAGCTCAGACACATTTCGGACGTGTTCGATGTTCATTTGGAAATATGTAGCGCTGCACAACACAAGGAGTGCCGCAAAACTTTCTAAAAAGGGGTGCCAGCCCTTTTCATGCTTTTCAAATGCAACCGAGACAACCTTCGATGCGAAACGGAGAGACTCAGCACGCAGCCACAAGGTGTGCCAAAGCAAAGTTTCTGGGCCACTTCGAGCAGCCACATCATCCTCTGCCTGATATGAATCATATGAAGGCTGTCGTCGCACTAACGGCCTGACCAACATGATCTAGTGCGGATGCCCGAGCTAATGCGGGGTGTCGGCGCCATCGGCTCTGCATAGCATCACTGTGAATGTGGTGCAGAACTTGTGTGAACGGACGCAGCAAAACCAAGAACCAGAAATGGACTAGCCGACTCGCCGATGATGCCACTCATGGTGGCCTCCCAGGGCTTCGTGGAGATACGAGGTGCAAACATGCACGGTCGTTGTCGGCAAAACGCTGCCTCGTCTGAATTCAAGGCGCACGGTAGCAAAGCTCGAAACTTGCATGATTCAGCAGCTCTTGAGGATGTGTAGGGATTTGTCGGCACCTGTGCGTCTGTGCGCCGCACGGCTCTTGCTCCCGTTCATCCTGGATGCTGCCAAGATTGCACCCTCCCGAGCAGTTTACCCAGGTGTCCCTTGGAAACAACAGTGGCTTTTCTGCAAACTGGTTGGCTTTTCCAACAGTGCACTGAGACGTAGTATTTCAAGAGTTAGCAGACTAGAAAATCTGGAGCAACTTGTGCACTGCCTCAACCTTCATGCAGAGCTGCTTCGCAAGATGTCCATGCAAGAAGGGCATGCCGATAGAAAGGTCGGCTGCAGTTTCCTGTCGTATTTCAACACCTTCATTTGACAGGGGCCGCCTTGCGCAGAAGAGGCCCCCATGTCCAGAGGGTGAGGTTGGATTTCTGATGACAGAAAGTCTGGCGATGGGTTTCTTCCAGCGGTAAGGAATTAGACTTGGGATTCGCAGCTCAAGATTTTCTCCTTAATGGTGCAGGCAGCCTAAGACGAACCCTCACGCTGCAAACGAGACTAGCCGTGGCGATGCACCTGAACAACCGTAACATAGTTTCAGCTCTGCAGCGACCGGCTTAGTGCGACCGATTTAGACCCGGCTCCTGAGCCATGACTTGCGGATCTTGTTCTTAGCATCCACTCATGGTACGCCCGCGACTTACAAGGTATAGCCTTACAGCTGGAGTACTGTCCTGCAACTGTCGTTGACATGGAGCTTTGACAAGGAGCTGTGAGCCTGAAACAGAGGTCTTCCAGCATTTGACAGGTCTTCTAACGCCTGCCAGGCTGTCAAGCTGGCATCAGGCAGGTTGCTTCTGGATTTAGAGTGTGTCGGAGGACTGAAGAATAAGAGGCGTGAAGCGCAGAGCTGGTTGAAGGTCCTGATCTAGAGAGGGGTAAGGTCTATAGGTTGTGGCCACTTGGGTTTCAGGCTTCATGCCCGGTTCTACTTGGTGGCTCTTTCCATGCGGGTCTTAGTCGCTTCGGACTAGGTTTGGTCTTCAGGCTTCAAAGATTTAGGGGCCTGCATTTCTTCTAGAATTATGTGTGTACACGGCAATGAACCTCTTGGGGTACAGATTTTCAGGTTTTCAGGCCGCAATCATGCTGAGACTCTACAGTGGATGGAGCTCAAACCACTGTCTTCTCCACAACTGCTGGCAGTCATGAAGTCGGGCAGAACCAAGCAGCCCGTAGCAATGATGGCAAAATGGCTGAACAATATGCAACGCGTGCCTTTATCCCGGCACATGCTGATGCCTGGACATTTGCAAGTCAACGCCGCAAAAAGGACATAGAAACTGCAGCGCCGACGAAGAATCATCCTCAACAAGCACAGTCTTTGCTGTGTCCTGCGGGCATTTAACAACACCGCTTAATGTTACACTGCAAGGTGCGTGGCCGGCCGAGACCATCACGCATCCGTCAGAAGTGGCACAGCCGCCAGAGGCCTGCCTTGAAGCCACCCATTGGATAGGATAACAGCAACAGCAACAGAAACACCAACACAAAAGAGCAGCAGTGGCGGGGGCGGGGGCGTTCATTATCCGCTCTGCTTCATCCGCCGTCCGCCGTCTGTTGCTCATCCGGCGTCGGGCATTTAGCGTCGGGCGTCAGGCGTCGGGCGTCAGGCGTCGGGCGTTGGCCGTCGGTTGTCATTCGTCGCCGCTGGGGAACGCTAGAAGTATGTGAGGGTTACCAGAGCATAATCGGATGGTGGTGGCGGTGGGTGTGGCGGTGGTCATGGCCGTGGTGGCGGTTGCCATCGTCAGCTTCACCATCATTACCATCATCAGATGCGGGCAGCAGGAACGACACCGCGGGATCAACAGTGTTTGTGGCCCTTGAGAGCAAGTGGTGCCGGTATTAAGATCTGGAGTTCAGCATCGTCAGACTGCTCAGCGCACTACGGCGACCCCACCCACAGGACCTGAGCGAGAAGAGGAAGCAAGCGTGGGTGCTCCGGACACATTTGTCTTGCTTTGTGCGGGGCTTGAAGCTTGTTGTTGAGATTGCGAGCCCTTTCGGATTCAGATCAGATCGTGGCTCATGTGCCGCCTAGCCAATTTTGACACGTTTTCAGACCAACTTACCCTGCTTCGTCACTGGCACGAGGTGGGTTTCTTTATGATTTCAAGG